CTTTAAAACTATTTATTTTATTTTATTTTGTATTTTTCATTACATTAAGTTATATTGTTACATTACCATAAGATAAGTTAAATTACTTTATGTTAAAGTTGTTACGTTAAGTTAAGGAAAAATAAATTACGTTGCATTAAGTTATGTTACATTGTTACGTTACATTAAGATACATTACTAGTTATGTTTACTTTAAAAGTATTTATTTTATTTTTCATTTTACATTACATTAAGTTATATTATTACACATCCTTTAGGTGCTTTACATTACATTGTTACATTACATTGTTAAATTAAGTTAAACAAAGTTGTTATTTTACATAAAGGTAAATTACTTTGTTACATTACAAGTTACTGTAAATTATTTTAAATTACAATGTTATGTTAAGTTGTGATTAGATACATTAAGTTACATTACGTTACATTAAGTCACATTACAATAGGTTTACTTTAAAAGTTTATTTAAATTTATCTTATTTTGTATTTTAAATTACATTATTTTATTGTTACACTATAAGATAAGATATGTTACATTATGTTAGTGGGTTACGTTAAGTTATGCTATGTTATGTTACAACACATTATGACTATACATTGTTACATTATGTTACGTTAATGCCTTTTTAATCAAGACTCTAAGACAAATGATCACTGCAAGACTATAAATGTGCATTTTTATAATAAATATGGTACAATTTGTTTGACTGCAGTTTTTATTGAAATTAAGGCAATTCATATAATTCAGCCTTTTGTCAGATTCAACACCATCATGCCATTCTACAAATCTCAACATCCATATTTAGATAAGACTTGGCCGCTGTGTAACCTCTGCCACTAAAAACAAATGCTCAGACCATTTGTGCTGGCCAGACTTGGTGACTGACTGAAATGATGATGGAAGAAACAGGTCAAATGACACATAACACAAATATGACATTGATAACAGACACAGGAATTTGTTTAAAATACACACGGTTAAATGAATTTGGTCCAGAAAGGTAAACTGCAGTTGCACTGGACTGCTTTTTAGGTTTTAAATGAATCTATAAATGAATATATAAATGAATATATAAATGAATATATATGAGCAATATCACACGAGTAGCAGTGCGTGCGATATGGCTGTATATCAGCACTGATGGGAGGCGTGCTTGCGTGCCTTAGTGTTCAACCAGTGCTGATATACAGCCATATCGCACTGCTACGAGTGTGATATTGCGTTTATACAACAGTTCAAAATCACAATCCTGTATATAAATAAGAAAACCAAACACGAATAGTCTAAAAACCCTTTTTGTATTAGAAACTACTTTCTTCCGCCATTAA